CTTGAGCCACAGGCGCTGAGCCTGTTAATAAGAACTTGGGGAGATTATCAACTAATGTGAACAAATCAAAACATTTATTGAGGAAGCCCCCCTTTCTACTTAGATTCTCTTCCATATACCTTTCTTGGGAAAGTAAAGATTGTCATCTTTGTTTACCAGTTCAGGAACCAACTGGGGTAAATCTGGTGTCTCCAGTTCACTGCATGTTTAACATAATGTCTGTATGGGACTAAAGTATTGTCATTCTTGTTGAGCTTGTTGGAAATTAGGAAACGGAATCTTCACCCCGTATCGTCCGAAAAAAAATCTACATTTTTCATGATCTCCACTTCTTGTACAAGTTAAAACTTTAGAGTTCCCATTTATCTCATCATGAGATTGTCATTAAAAAACATACACGGATTATAACATATGACATAAATAAGGCACAAAATTATACATGCCTGTATTGGCGGCCTTTTATTTCTACTGTATCAACCAAAAATGTCTCGTGTACACCCGTTTTCTGGATGCCATTCCATCTCCTTTCTTCAGTGTTAGACAACCATGAGGGAATATATCCGTTCTATACTTATTAGGTAATTGCATTTACTCTTATAAGTCAGCAAGAGTTCTCGTCACTCACTTAACTAAAAGTGAAATTCATGGCTTCATGTCCGTAGCACAGTGGTTAAGGCGCCGGCCACATACACCCAGGCTACTGGGTTGGAACCCGGTCTGGGCCAGGTGAACAACAATGACAACAACAACAAAAATAGCTGGGTGTTGTGGAGGGCGCCTGTAGTCTCAGCTAGGAGACTGAGGCAACAAAATCGCTTAAGCCCAAGAGTTTAAGGTGGCTGTGAGCTGTGACACCACAGCACTTTACCTAAGGTGACAGCTTAGGACTCTTGTCTCCAAAGGAAAAAAAAGTGAAATTCTATATGCTTATGTTTTCTTGGTAAATATGTTTGTTTTTCAGGGAGTGTTGACATTCAAGGACGTGTCTATTGAATTCTCTATGGAGGAGTGGGCCTGCCTGGACCCTGCTCAGAAGCATTTGTATCAAGAAGTCATGTTAGAGACCTACAGAAACCTGGTCTTCCTGGGTAAGGACAACTTTTATACACAGTTCCAGGTCTACACTAAACAATTGATATTCTCTCTTTGTAGAAGGTTTTTATTCAGTTTATTCATTGACTGAGTATCAGGTTCTTGTTACTATGGAAAACTTTAGAATATCTTGGTATAAAAAAGAAAAATTAGAGTTGTTTTATTTTGGCATTAATCTTACCCTTTTTTGAGCTGATTTATATCCTTCACTACATTAATGAAACTTTCAGAAATTTCGTGGCCTAGGTTTACTCATACCTTTAAGTCTGATTTCTAGCACTGAATTTTATTTTAGTAGTTTTGGTAGTGGAGGCGTTAGGAATGTTCCAAGTTTAAATACTTTTTAAAGATTCTAACTTTAAATACTTTTTAAAGATTTTTTTTTAGTACATGGGAATTTCTGCAAGGAAATCTGTTTGGGATTTTTATTTCTGGATCTTCTAAAATGTCCTTTTCTCTACTTCACCAAGGCATTAGATTGCCAATTGAAGAATCCCAATTTTTTTTCTACTAAAACAGGTCTTGCTGTCTCTAAGCCAGACCTCATCACCTGTCTGGAGCAAAGCAAAGATCCCTGGAAGTTGAAGACACAGCAGACACTACTCAAGCCCCCAGGTAGGTTGGAGTGAGTGAAGCAGGTAACGCTGGTCAGAGGTCCAAGTTCTGGGAGGAAAACACACAATACAGGGTGATTAGGGAAGCTCAGCTTCATTGGAAATGATTTCTGAGAAGCCTGGGTTTCTTTCCTTTGTTCTTCCATTAAGGCATCTGTCTTCTTGTTTTTATTATTTTTTAATTTTTATTTTCTTATTGATACGGAGTCTCACTCTCTTGCCTCACACTAGAGTGCCATGACATCAGCCTAGCTCAGAGCAACCTTAAACTACTGATGTCAAGTGATTTTTCTATCTCAGCCTCCAAATAGCCAGGAATGCAGGTTTCTCTACATTGTCTGGCTAATGTTTTTTTTTTTTTTTAGTACAGAGGAGTTCTCATACTGACTCAGGCTAGTCTCAAACTTGTCAGGTGAAGCAGTCCTCCCTCCTTGGCTTCCCAGAGTGCTCGGCATACAGTTGAGAGCCACTAGGCCTGTTCTTGGTTTTAATTTCCAGAAAGACCTTACTTTTCAATTTTTTTTTTTTTTTTTTTCCAGTTTTTGGCCAGGGTTGGTTTGAACCTGCTACCTCCAAGCATATGGAGCTGGCGTCTTACTCCTTTGAGCCCCAAGAGCCACCCAAGGACCTTACTTTTCATTCATATTCCTTCTGGATTACAGTGAGAATGAAAGAACTTCCTATGGCTTACATGTGATTGCAGGATATGACTGCTCTTCCATTGCTTTTAAGGGCATGAAATACATATGTATTTTTTAGTATACCTGTGAAATGTGTTTTAATATTCTTTAGGCTGGGTGTGGTGGCTCACACCTCTAATCCTAGCTCTCTGGGACCTAAGGTGGGACTATTGCTTGAGCTCTGGAGTGTGAGACCAACCTAAACAAGATTGACAGCCCATCTCTACTAAAAAGAGAAAAAATATCCAGGCATTGTAGTGGTTGCATGTTGTCCTACCTACTGGGGGCTCGTGGTGGGGATGAGGCTGGAGAATTACTTGAAGATTTCAAATAAGTTTCCCAAGAAATTGTAGTTATTTTAGCAGAACACTAAGAATCTCCCCAAATGTAAGAAAGTCTAATGTTCTTTTTTTTTCTTTTCTGAGACAGAGCCTTAAGCTGTCCCTCTGGGTGGAGTGCCATGGCATTATAGCTCACAGCAACCTCACATTCCTGGGCTTAAGTGATTCTCTTGCCCCATCCTCCCAAGTAGCAGGGACCACAGGTGGCCCCTCAATGCCCAGCTATTTTTTGGTTGCAGTTGTCATTGTTGTTTGGTAGGCCCAGGCTGGATTCAAACCTGCCAGCTCTGATGTATGTGGCTGGCGCCTTAGCTGCTTGAGACAACGTAATGTGTCATGGCATTATAGCTCATAACCTTAAACGCTTCAGGTGAAGGGATCCCCTTGGCTCAGCCTCCTGAGTATCTGGGAACAGGCGCCCTCCACCACATTTGTCTAGTTTTGTAATTTTTAGTAGAGATGGTGTCTCCCTCTTGCTCAGGGTGGTCCTGAGCTCTTGAGCTCAAGCAGTCTATTTGCCTTGGTGTCCCTGAGGGTAAGGATTAGAGGTATGATCCCCCACGTCTGACGGCTACATTTCTTTCTTTCTTTTTTTTTTTTTTTTTTTTTTGAGACAGAGTCTTAAGCTGTCACCCTGGGTAGATTGCCGTGGAATCACACCTCACAGCAACCTCCAACTGCTAGGCTTAAGCAATTCTCTTGCCTCAGCCTCCCAAGTAGCTGGGACTATAGGCACCTACTACAATGCCCATCTATTTTTTGGTTGTAGTTGTCATTGTTGTTTGGTAAGCCTGGACTGGATTCAAACCCACCAGCTCTGGTGTATGTCCCTGGCGCCTTAGCCACTTGAGCTACAGGTGCCAAGCCTACATTTCTTAATAATATTATGTCACTCAAGACTTTGGAATATTCCTGAGGATATATTAGTGTCTCTGTTGTTACAATATAATTCTTATTTTATAACTGTCTCTGGCTTAGAATATGCTCATTCATACACACACACAAACAGACATGCAGGCAGCAGAACCTCTGCAAGTTGACCACTCAAGGGACTATAACAAACTTGTCAACATACAGAGGTGATTAGCATAAGGAACCAGGCCTGCTGTACCAATACACACATGTTGCAACAGTGGGCATGTCTGGTCTATGAAAATCAGGCCAAGTTGAGGAGATGGTCAATGTAGGGAGATGGTTCACTATGGAGGTTCTAATGTGTGTGTGTATACATATATACTATTTGTGTGTGTCTTTGTATGCGTATCTGTAAACACACAAATATTGTGTGTGTGTATATATATATATACAGACAAATACATATACACACACAAAATAGTCCATACATATAAATGCACACACAAATAGTATGTATACACACACTCACATATATATACATACACACACAAATAGTACACATATATATACACACATACAAATAACAAACACACACACACAAAGTGCCAAGGTCTGCAGGCCTGTCTCCAGGGTCATGAGTGAACATTTCCCTCCAGGTCTCTGGATGGGTAGCGCCACCATCATGGCTGGGAGACATTGGAGAGTCCCACATTGTCCTTTCAGAATTCTTAATGGGATAGAGGTGAGCAGGCCATTCTCCAGTCAGTAACCCAGACCAGGGATCCTCTAGTTTGCTAAGTGAATGAGGGTCAGCCTTCTCTGAGTGCCCCTTCTTAAGGGCATTAGGAGGATTTCACAACCTCCTCCCTGGATTCTAAAGCTCTCATAACATCACTTATTGTGAGATGGTGACTCACTGTATTGCCTAGGCTGGTGTCAAACTGTTGGACTGAAGTGATCCTCTCACCTCAGCCTCAAAGTAGGTGAGATGACAGGTATGAGTTCATGTGCTGGGCTGTCACTGAAGTATTTTTCCCTATAGATGGCTCCCTTGGGAGGAATACACGAAGATGGAACTTGTATTATACTGTCTTGCTGTTTTTACTGTCTCTATCTCTGTTATCATATTCCATTTTCTGTGTTTAATTTTCTGTAATTTTAGATTTAAACATTCAGAAGTATGTGTTAGAATTTCAACTTATGTAGCAAGTAATTTAGAGAATGAGTAGGAATTGCAGATTTATTAAAAGGCTCACTTGGCTTGATACCTGTACCACAGTGGTTACAGCACCAGCCACATGCACCGAGGTTGGTGGGTTGTAGCCCAGCCTGGGCCAGCTAAACAACAGTAACAATTGCAACAGGAAAATGGCCGGGCCTCCTGGTGGTGCCTTAGTCGCAACTATGTGGGAGACTGAGTGAGGCAAGAGAATCCTTGGTCCCAGGAGTTTGAGGTTGCTGTCAACTGTGATGCCACAGAATTCTAACCGATGGCAACAAAGAACAACTCTATCTCAGAAAAAGTAAATAAATAAAAAATAATAATAAATATGGCTTGATGCCTATAGCTCAAGTGGCTACGGCGCCAGCCACATATACCAGACCTGTCAGGTTCGAAGCCAGCCTGGGCCGCCAAACAACAATGACAACTACAATCAAATTAAAAAAAAAACATAGCCACGGGTTGTGGTGAGTACCTGTACTCTCAGCTATCGGGAAGGCTGAGGCAACAGAATCTCTTAAGCCCAGGAATTGGAGGTTGCTGTGAGCTGTGATGAGATGGCACTCTTCTCAGGGCCACAGCTTCATGTTCTGTCTAAAAAATAATAATAAATAAATAATAATCAAAATAAAAAATTTCTGGAAAATTTCCTTCAAAGAAAGTTTATTTTTCAAAATAAACTTGAAATTTCTAGTTTCCTATGGCCAAACAAAATAACCTATATCTAAATGATATATTAATTTTGCCCAAATGCTTATTTTAAATAGTATGAATTATCATATTTTACAAAGTTAATATTTTTATCTTATTTAGAAATGTTTTTTGATTGTTTCTAAAGGGTGAGATAAACCTTTTCAGTTTTTATAAAAATATGAATATATTAATAGCATAATAAAACTATCTTTACTGTTTTCAAATGTTTATTAACATTTTCTGATAAGTATCTCATAGTAATAAATCATACATTTTATTGAAAGATGGTGCATAAAATATTCAAATGCCTGCTCTCATCCAACAAAATGTTAACTAATATTAACAAAAAATGTCTGGCTCAGTGCCTGTTGTTCAGTGGTTAGGATGCCAGGGGGCTGTTGGGTTCGAACTTGGCCCAATTCTGCTAAACAACAATGATAACTACAACGACAACAACAAAAATAATACCCTGGCGTTGTGGCAGGCACCTATAGTCCCAGCCACTTTAGAGACTGAGGCAAAAAAATTGCTTAAGCCCATGAATGATAGTATAGCCAGGAGTTTCAAAGGCTGAAGCAGGATTGCTTGAACTCACGCGTTGGAAGTTGTTCTAAGCTGGGATAATGGATGCTATAGCATTCTACTGCTGGAAACAGAGTTCGTCTCCATCTCACACAAAAGTTCTCTTTTCTAGATAACTACAATGTTCCATTATGACTATGGACTGAACCAAAGCAGGTATTTTTTCTCTTTTTTTGAAACAAAGTTTCACTTTTGTCACCCTTAATAGAATGCCATGTCACAGCTCACAGCAACCTCCAACTCTTGGGCTTAAGCAATTCTTTTGCCTCAGCCTCCTGCGTAGCTGGGGCTATAGGCCCCCACCACAATGCCAGGCTATTTTTTTGTTGTAGTTGTCACTGTTGTTTGGCAGGCCCTGGTTTGGTTAGAACCGGCCAGTCCCAGTGCATGTGGCCGGTGCCCCAGCCACTGAGCTAAAGGTGCAGAGCCAAATAATGACTTTAAATTTTAGTTTTCTGAGAAACTTTCAATCATTTTGATAGTCTGCTACGTTTTTCATCAGCTTTGCTAAAAGTTTCTAATTTCTATGTATCCCTGACAGACATTTTTTAGGGTTCACTGCGAGTATGATGTAACATTTCATTGTGATTTTGCTTCACATTTCCCTAAGAATTAGGACTTAAGGCATCCTTTGAAATGCTCATTAGCCATTGATAGTTCTTTGAAAAGTGTTGATGAGCTCCTGCCATCTACCTGATTCTTCCCCCTAGAATGTTAGGATTATAGACATGAGCTACTGCTTCAGGCCTCTTTTTAATTTTTCTTTTTTTTTTTTTTTTTTTTTAAAAAAAACGACAGAGTCTCACTTTATTGCCCTGGGGAGAGTGCTGTGGTGTCATACCTTACAACAATCTCCAACTGCTGGGCTCAGGTGATTCTCTTGCCTTAGCCTCCAAAGTAGCTGAGAATACAGGCGCCTGCCCCAGTGCCGAGCTATTTTTTTTTGCAGTTTGCCGGGGTGGGGTTTGAACCCACCACCCGTGGGGCCAGTTCCCTACTCACTGAGCCACAGATGCTGCCCCTCTTTTTAAATTTTTAAAGTAGGTCACCTCACCTCAGTCAGTTTTGTTTGTACTTTTTACCTATACATGGTATACCAAAATTTGCCAGACATACATGGATATGGAAAATGGGAATTTGTAGCTAAATGTACCATTATTTATAAAATATTCATTATAGGATTTTCCATTAAATTTTTCTGTGCAAAAATAAAGAGATTCATATTCTAAAATATAATATTACTTTTTTATCTCTGAGTCACTTTGGGACACTTTTTTAATTATAATTTTGTATGACATTATTCAACTCTGTATACTTTAAGACATTGAGAACACAAATTAAATATAAATCAACCACATATGTAGTGGGAATTTCATTTTCTTTCTGTTTGTTTGCCTACATGCTTCTTATATTTGGTTTAGGAATAGTACATTTTCTCTTGGTTGCTGGCCAATGGTTATTATATCCTGTAGGTGAATATGTATGAAAACTCTTATTGTAGGTAGGGAAAACAGAGTCTCACTTTGTTACCCTTGGTAGAGTGGCATGGTATTATAGGTCACAGCAACCTCAAACTCCTGGGTTCAAATGATTCTCTTCCCTTAGCCTCTCCTGTCTCCGGGACTACAGGTATCCATCACAATGCCCATCTATTTTTTTGGAAGATGGGTCTTGCTCTATCTTAGACTGGTCTTGAGCTCTGGAGCTCAGGCAATGTACCTGCCTTGGTCTCCTAGAGTCTTAGGATTGTAGCCATGAACCACTGCCCCTGGCCTACTCAAACTGTCTTCAGTTTAACTCATATTTACTGATGAATAGATATTATGTCTGTGTGAACTATTTGTGTAATTTGAAGATAATTTTTGAAAGGCCATTTCATTTACCGTAAAGTTAACGTTTATCTTTATTAGAGATGTTAGAAGATTTCCTGATTTTTAGAAGCTAAGTAATACTCTGTCATTTTTATATCCCAAATTATATTTCACCATTTGTTTTTTGAGGTCAATATGAATTTCTTTCACCAAATGGATTATGTGAATAATGCTGTAATAAATATGTGTGCAGATAGCTCTTTATTAGAGCATGTATGTGATGGTTGTATGTATGTACGTGACGGTGGTATGTCCTACATTTTTTCAGTATTTGTTTTATATATATTGAAAATAACAACAACGAGTTAACAGTTTTCTAACAAATAAGTGCTTATATTATCATTTCATACTCTTTACCTTCTGTGACCACTTTCACTTAAAGCACATATTATGAAATAAGACATGTTTTGTCTCAAAATATATTGTCTCTGGCTGGGCATTCCTGCCATATGTCTATAATGCTATCAACCTGGGACGCTGAGACATGAAGATGTCTTGAGCTCAGGAGTTGGAGAACCCATGTCTACTTGAAATAGAAGATAAAATTACCTGAATATCATTGCAGGAACCTATAGTACCAGCTAGTCAGAAGGCTGATTCAGGAGGATCGCTTGAACCTAGAATTTTCAGGTTGCTGTGAGCTAGGCTGATGCTGTGGCACTCTAGCC